GAAAAAACGATTGCAATAGAAATGTGCGCTTTCCCAATGGAGCGAGGCGGGCGATTTTGCCTCTTCGGGTTCTCTTGAGGGTCCTCTTGGAGGCGTCTTGGGGCATCCTGGGGGCCTGCTGGCGATCGCCGGGGTCCTCTTAGGGCGGAGCCCTCGATATGTGGGTTCGAATTCCCCCTGCGGGGCCCCTGCTGGCGCTCTCTTCGACCGCCTTGGGCGGTCCTGGCTTCTTGGGCCCCCACACACGACGCAGGTGTCCATGGTGGACGCGCGAAGACCAAACCATCATTCCTGTACGCTGTACACGGCTGGCCCCCATGGCTTCCTGCCACTACTAAGTAAAAGAGACTAACGCCAAGCATGTTATCGAAATCGCCATCGTTGAAAGTTCACAACGGAATGAGGGGCGAACCCATCCCTCGTTGCGAATATGTGCTGCATGGGTCCCTCTTGGCCCGTCATGGGGGGCTGAACCCGTGTTGGGACCCTCTTGGGGCCCTCTCCGGCCATGTAGGGATCCTCCTGTGGCCCCCTCGGGCCCATGGGGACTCTCATGGGCACCGTCGTCTTGGGGCCCTCTTGGGTCTGGGGCCGATTTGGGAAGCCTTTCGGGCCGTCGTGGCCGCTGCTGGGAGTGAAAAAAGCGAGTTTCCCTGAAATGTGCGTTTTACCATCGGAAATTCTAATTGTTTGCCGTTGGGGGGCCTTTTTGGTCCGTCTGGGGGCCCATTTCGGCCGTCACGGGTCCTTCTTGGCCCGTCATGGGGAGCTGATGCCGTCTTGGAGCCCTCTTGGAGCCCTCTCCGGCCATGTAGTGATCCTGCGGTGTCCCCGTCGGGCCCCCTGGGGACTCTCTTGGGGCTCTCTTGTGCTGCTCGAAGCTCTTTCCAGGCCGTCTTGGTGCCCATTTGGGGGCCTTTTGGGCCGTCCGGGGCCGATTTTGGGAGCCTTTGGGGCCGTCGTGGCCGCTGTTAGGATTGAAGAAGCGATCCCGGAAATTTGTTGCTTTACATAGGAAATGATTGATTTTTGCCCTTGGGCGGCCTTTTCGGCGGCCTCTTGGACAGCGGTCGCGGTCCCGGGCCCTCCCCTGGCCTACTCCGACACACACGCACACACCCACCCACATATATATATATATATATATATATATATATACAAGCATGCATGCATGCATGCATGCATACATACACACACACACATACATACATACATACATACATACATACACACACATACAAACCAACATAATAAAGGGAAACGATTCTGGAGCGGACGATTAAACACATTGTTTCGCGGGCCTCCTCGCCCCCGCAATAGCGGGGGGGCAGGGCAGGCAGACGGGGGGCCGACAATTCGGGGTTGCCTGGAAGGCCAGAAAGGGGGGGGGGGGGCGGGGTGGCGAACCAGGGCGCGGGGGCCACGGGGGTGGACGGGGTGAACTTTTCAGGGCGAGCTCGTCCTCGTCCTCCTCCTCCTCCTCCTCCTCCTCCTCCTCCTCCTCCTCCTCCTCCTCCCCCTCGTCCTCCACCTCCCCCTCCCCCCCTCCTCCTCCTCCTCCTCCTCCTCCTCCTCCTCCTCCTCCTCCTCCTCCTCCTCCTCCTCCTCCTCCCCCTCCTCCTCTTCCCCCATCCTCCTCCTCGTCCCTCTCCTCGTGTTCCTCCTCCTCCTCCTCGTCCTTTCTCCTCCTCCTCCTTTTTCTCCGCTCCCCCCTCCTCGTTATCCACCTGTTCGTCCTCCTCCCCCCCCCCCCCCCCCGTCCGCAAGGACGAGGGCGGCCCTCTCGCTGTCTCGCTTCCCTTTCCTCCTCGTCGCCGCGCGCCGCAGTCCGCAGCCAGTCAGGCAGGCTGGCGCTCCTTTGGCCTCCAGAGGAGACAGGGCGCGTCTAGCCCTTGCAGCGCTGGCTGGTGGCTCCCTCGCTCAGGCCGTCGCCTGGGCAGGGCGGAGAATCCAGGTTCCGCGCGGCCGCCTGGCCACAGTCAGCCAGCCGAGGCAGTCGGGCCCGTCCCGACGGGCCGCCATGGCGCCCAGCTCGGCGGGCAAGGGGGGCGGGCGCCCCGCGGGCGCCCCCCCTCGAATTGCGCAACGGCGCGCGCGGAAGAGAATTCTGGCGGAGAAAGGCAAAGCAGGCGGACCGTCTGTGGCGACGAACGTGCCACGTCGTGCTCTGCCATGCTACGCTTTGATCTTCAACGCCGTGCTATGCAATGTTATGTTCGGGGCCGCTGTGCGATGCCATGCCTTGCGTCGCAAAGATTTGTGATGCAATTCTGCACTACGCCACGCCACGCCATGCTATGACATACTACGCTTTGCGGTGCTCTTCAACGCCCTGCTACGCCGTGCTCTACAATACTTCGCGTGCCCTTTCGGGATCATTGCCCTGCTCGAGATCCAACTGTGCGAGTAGAGAGGGGATCTACGCCATGGTAAGGGATGGGAGGGAGGGGTAGGCTGTCATATATGACGCGAGCGCACCTAGCTTGTCCTCCCCCCTCCTCCTCTTCCTCCTCCTCCTCCTCCTCCTCATCCCCCACCTCCCAATCGCCGCGGCCATCCGCAAGGACGACCGGCGGCCGTCCGCAAGGACGAGGGTGATCAAGCGCCTCTTCGAAAACCCCTTCCCTAATTACCCCGCCCCCCCTCCGCAATCCCCCCCCCGCGGCCGCGGGTGATCAAGCGAGCGAAGGAGAACGAATAGAAAATCAGTTCCCCCAAAGGGGCAAAAGCAAACGCCGGGGGGCGGACGATTTAAAAAACAGTTTCCGGCGGCTGAATTCTGTTAGTCCGCCCCACTCAATCATTTTGGGGGGTGGGGGGGGAGGCGATTTTTTTAAATCGTTTCCCTGCATTACATACATACATACATACATACATACACACATACATACATACATACATAGACTGCCAGACGCGTACCCTGGACGACCTGGAACTCCAAAACAGATCTCATCGTGATTTGCGCAACCGGAAAAGGAGACCTGCGCACATAGGAGGAGGTGGCGAATGAGCAAGAGGCCGAGCAGGAAGAACGGGAAGAGGACTAGGAAGGAGGAGGACGACGATCGAGATCAACAGCATGAGCTGAAGTGGAAGGAGCGGGAGGAGCAGGAGGACCAAAGGAAGGCGGAGGAGCTGAGCCGGATAAAAAAGGGGAGATGAGGAACGAGGAAGAGGACGAGGACGAACAGCAACAGCGAGAACTGGAGTGGAAGGACCGGGAGGAGCAGGAGGACGAGGGGAAGGCGGAGGCGGGAAAAGCAGGGGGGCGACAATGATGATCAGGAAGGACTCGGATCCAGAACAGTGGCACACAATTGGGCGAGAGCGCCTTTCTGAACGACGGGAGCAAAGCGCCGATCCGAAAATGATGCCCACGCTGCACAGAGAACACCAATTTGAAACACCGGGAACAACCAGCGTGCAACAGACACAAGAGAAACCTCTTCAGTCCAATGATGTGCAAAAAACAACGAGAAGAGGGCGGATCATCTTCCTGGCAGAGCCAGGGGAGAGGAGAGTAGCACAGTGAACCCCCAAAAAAGGACGCTTTGCCAGTGGGGCGCGGCCAGCATAAGCGGCCAAGGATAGGTTGGAGGGGAAAGAAAGGGTGACGTGGGAAAGTCGATCATCCTTACTATGCGGCTTGATTGTATTGATAGTGTGCAGTTGCCGGGGGGGATGAGGGCGAGGAGGTAGAAGGAGGATGTGCGAAGGTCTCGGTTTCGGGGATGGGTGGGAGGGGTAGAATGTCGGATATGTCGCGAGCGCACCTAGCTTGCCTCTCTCCTCTCTCCTCTCTCCACTTTCTCCTATATGATGTTGTTTCTCTCTCCTTCTCTCTCGCTCTCTCTCTCTCTCTCTCGCGCTATTGTTTTTCCCCCCCCCCCTCTCTCTCTCTCTCCCTTATCTCCCACCTCCTCCCCCCTCTTCCTCCTCCTCCTCCTCCTCGCCTTTTCCGCCTCCTCCTCCTCCACCTCCTCCCTCCCTCCCTCCCTCCCTCCCTCCCTCCCTCTTCGGATCCCGAGACATCCGAAGAATTGTTACTGTTCAGTCCGCGCGCCCTGGAAATCTCGACCTCTCAGGGGCAGCTTCCCGCCCCGGATCTATGGCTAATGACCCTGGCGCCCGAAGAACAGCCCTGGGATGCCGAAGCGGAGGAATGCCGAAATGATGGAACAGAAACTGACCGTCCGAAACTCGGCTCTGCTCTCTCCTCCTCCTTCTCCTCCTTCCCCTCTTTCTCCTCCTCGCTCCTCCTACTCTTCCTCGACCTTGCTCGCTCCTCCTACTCCTCCTCCTCCTCCCCCTCCTCCTCCTCCTCCTCGGTATTCCTTCCCATCCTCCTCTCGCCCTCCGTCCGTTCCTTCCATCTGTCTCCTCGCCCCTGCTCCCTCCGACCTGGGGAGCAATGGACAGCCTCGAACTTATCCCTATCCCTAAGATCGGCAAGCCCAAGGCGATGGCGGTACCCCCAGAAACGGAAGGAGTGCTCAAGATCAGCACCGAGGTAAGGTGATGCCAAACATACGAATGGGAATCTGATTCAAGCTGGTACAGAAAGGGAGGCTCGGGGCGGCCCCATCGGCTACAGGCAAGAATGACCCTAGGCAGGGGTGACTCTTTTCTGCGCGGCTTCACAGGGCGCAGAGAGACCAAATCCAAGTTCGCAAAAACCAGTGCTGGGGGACCCCTTCGGGCCCGCACTGAAGGTCACTCCCGGAGAAAGGTTGCTCTTTACGCGTCGCCGGCCCCCCCCCCCTCCCCCGCCCCCGCCTCCCCCCGACACGCCGAGAGTGAAGGGGCCCCAGGACACACAAACAAATACACACAAATAAAAAGATTCCCCATATCTTCCTGTATTTTCTGGGTTTCCGTCTTCCCAACCACTTCCCATATGTTTTCCCATATCTTCTGGGGAAATCGAGGATTCATATTGTGTCTGTGTGCTTCTCTTCCTCCCGAGAGAGCAGGGGAGGCTTGGGGCTGCCCCGCGGGGCCCGCGCCCCGAGCGCCGCCGCCGCCTGCCTGCTGCAAGAGGTCACCTGCGGGACCCGTCGCGGCGGCACTCATCCTCCTCCTCCTCCTCCTCCTCCTCCTCCTCCTCCTCCTCCTCCTCCTCCTGGCGAAACACTGCGAGGGCCCACGTCGCCGCCGCGGCCGCTCGGAGAAAGGCCCGCCATGGCCTCGCCATCGCCTCGGGACGGCCGTCCCCCGTGCATTTTTTTACGACTTCGTGCGTGCATCTTGTCGCAAGAGGGTCCGAGATGCTCCTCGATGGTCCTCGCGGGGAGAAGGTGCACACATCCGCACGATGCCAATAAGCATGTGGGCTGCGACATGGGGCCCGCAGAGGACGTACAGACACAGCCACGTACGTGAATACGGCCCCCCAGTCCGCGAAGCCAGCTTCGTGTTACGAGCGTCCACTCGAAGATGGGCGCAGGACGAAGGGGAAAGGCTTTTTGGAAGGGCCCACCACAGCAAGCAGACCGTTCGTGTAAGGTGGCGACTACCAACCATTTCCGAATCTTCGGATTCCGCTTCGCTTCAGCTCCGTCTGGCCCGTCGGCTGTCCAGGCGCACGCCCACGGATGAGTTGGCGGCGCGCAAGTGGGGGTGGGGGGAGGGGGGAAGGCTCCTTGAAAGGAAGCTGTTTTGGCCCACATAACTAGACAAGGCCCGCGCCTTCTAAGAAGCAATCTTCCTTTAAGAAGCCATCCCCTACCCTTCCCCTACCTTCCTTAACGCGTGGCTGATATAGGGGGAACAAGCAATGACAGAAACACAACAAGTCGGAGGTCCGCGCGGATTTTTTCGGATCGACCCTGGGGCCCCCTGGCGGCGTTTCCGGCGACGCCCCTGGCGCGTTCCGCGCGCCAGGGACGGGATCGAACGCCGATTCGAAGCGGCCTTCGGACCCCGTCCGTAAGCTCCATCGAGGAGACCCTCATCACCAAAGATCTCCTCGCCAGCTGCTCGGAGCCGCGGCCCCGCGCGAAGCCCAGCCAGCCAGCCGCAGGGTAGGTGGCAGCCTCAGCCCCCAGTACCGCCGCCGCCGTAGTGTAGGACTGCAGAATGTCGCCCAGCTCCGCGATGCACCACCCGCGAAAATTCAGCTGCCTCGGGTCGTCCTCGCCCCGCCCGCTGGCCATCACCTACGTGGCGATCTGCCATTCTTCCGCGTCCACATGCGCCGCAGGCTGGACTCGCCGCTCGTGCCCCAGGGCCAGCGCGCTCCTCCACATCTCCAAGATTTCGGCTTCCTGGAATATTTCGCGAACCATCCTAGCCTCGACCTTGTCCTCCGTCGCGCGGGTCAGCATGTCTTCCATCCTGTTGCTGTGCGTCCTGATGTACGATGCGGCCAGAATCACGAAGTGACACTTGGCCCACATGTAGTCAATTCAGGATGCGAATGAGGTGCCGACCCATGAGGTTGCGGAGCTTTCAGCTCTCCGCCCAACTCTGCACCGCCTGGTTGTCGCCCTCGTAGATGACGAAGCGCGCGCCCCACTCCATGACTCTTTCCGCCGCGAAGCCCATGATGCAGCGCAGCTCAGCCAGAGCAAAGCTGACCCACTCGTCCTCGGCGTCAGCCACCGCGGGCCCATGCCCCCGCGCCCGCCGCCAGCGCGCTGGGTCGCGCGGAGGGTGGGGGGGCGAAGCGCCGATAGCCTCCAAGTTGACGTCCGTCTCCTCCGCTACGCATCCATAAGGCGGCGCGCGCGGCATGGGCCCCGCCATCCGCAAGGTGCCTCCCGGCACGGGTAGGGCGTCTTAACCTGGATCTCCTCCACCAGCACCCTCAGCCTCCTCGAAGTCAAACCGAGGACTGCGGTGAAACTGCCAGGCGCGTTCCGAACGTTTGGGCTTCATCTCGGCGCCGAGGGCAGGGCGCTCCAAGCGGGCCGCGGCATCGCCGACCTCGATGACCAGGTGGCGCGCATCGCCCCTTGCATCGCGAACGCGAAGCTGAGCGTGGAAGGCGTTGTCAACGAGCCCGGGCTAACCGCCCCTGGCCGCGAAGCTCCGGAACCACTCCTTCTCCCCCGCCTCCTCCTCCTAGGCGGCGCAGCGACGGCGCTGGAAGCAACCATTAAGCCATGAAGCAGGGGGGGCAGCATTCCGAGCGGCCTGGACCAGGTAGTCTTGGGCGGCGACCGTCGCGCGCAGCCCGAACCCCGCGCCCACCACCATGCCCACCGCCCGCAAGAGAAGGAGGCCGCCAGACACGCAGGGCCACATTTCCCGGAAACAATTCTCCGACGAGCCCTCCACCTCCCGCCCGGAGTCGCTGCCACCCGTCGGTAATTATCCCATTCGCCGAAGTAGCCGCCGTCCCGCTGCCGACGGGAGTGAAGCGCAAATTCTGGAAGCCCCGCCATGCTTCCTCAGCCTTGCTGCCCGCCTCGTCAGGTCCAGGCGGCGGGGGGGGGGGGGCGGCAGGGGTCTGCGTGTCTGGCCCCGTCGCAGCGCCATGTGAACCAACTTCCTCTCGGCGCCTCCTCCTCCTCCTCCTCCTCCTCCTCATCATCATCCTTCTCCTCCGCCTCCTCCTCCACCTCCTCCTCCACCTCCTCAACCCGTCCTCAACCCGCTGCAGCCGCCAGGGCACCAAGAACGATGGCGAACGTCACGACGTGCTCCCGACCTCATCAGCCTGGCAGTTCGGCCCAGCGCTGTCACAGCGTTCGTGGCGGCCGGCCCTCTGAGCCCGCGCTGCGGTCCGCGCTGCCCCGCTTTGCCCGCAGGCGACGAGCGCCCCACGGGCGCCACCCGGGCATCCGAGTGTCTGGTTCGGCCTGCCAGCCCGCCGCCGCCGTGCCTGGCCGCGGGCCCACGGCGCCAGCCTGGCTGACCGCGGCTAAGGGACTGCGTGGCTCCCCGCGGACCGCCCCCGGAGGGCCGCCGCGCCTGGGGCCTCGTGGGGCCCCGATAAGACTTGAGCCCAAACGGGCAACAGAGAGAAAGAGAAAGGAACAAAAAGAGAGAACGAGAGAAAAGAGAAGCATTCACCGGCACGTGGCCCGGCTTCGTGAAACCTTACGTTCGGCTGCGCCCGAGCTCTCATAAATCGGTCGCGGCAGATTTTGAAGTAAACCGTTCGCGACCGATATCGCATTCTGACGCAACATCGGTACAGAGACCGATCTCGTCGGCCGCGGAATTTGACGCAAATCGCTCCCCATTCGCTCCCAGAGCCCTAACGTCTAAATTTCTTCATAACATCGACCCAACAATGTCCTGACCCATTCCCACAGACCTGCTTTTCATGCAGCCCCTGTCGTGTTGTTGACGGCCCCGAATCCCAGAGGTCGACAATAGCGAAAAATCACCCGTCGTGATTTTTCATGACTCGAAAGGGTCTGGGCTCCTGGCCGAAGATCGCTCCAGATCGGCTCCCGGACATCTCCCCAAGACGCCGCACCCCGCACAATCCATGATGGCGCCCTGGGCGGCCCAGCCGCCGGACCACCCCGGACCCCTCATCGAAACGTCCAAAATTTGAGCGAAGGTGTGGTGGGTGAGGATGATATCCTCCTCTTCCTCCTGCTTCTCCTTTCTCCTCCTCTTCCTGTTTCTCTTCCTCGTGCTCCTGGCATACAGGGTCGGCGGCACGGGCCGTACGGCGCCTTGAACAGGAGCGAATGAGGGGGGTCGGGAGGGGTGGACGCGGGGGGAAGGAGGATGACGAAACGAGGGGGAGAAGGAGGAGGAGGAGGAGGAGGAGGAGGAGGAGGAGGCACCATATTCCTTGCCTGCGGCATGAACTGTCACACGCATCTATAGCTGCTCAAGAATGTCAGGCACGGCTCGTCAGAGTACGCAGAGTCAGCTCAGAGCCCGCCCGTCCCCGCCGAGGGGCCCCGCTTGAGAGGCGCTGCCGCCTCCATGCGCCTCCCGACTACTGCGGGCCAAATCCCTTGTCAGGCTGTGCGTGTTCAGGTTGAGACCCACATGAGTGCTTGACCACTCTTCCCCAGCTGCCTGGCACTAAGTAGATAGTTGTTCTCCGCGCCGCCCCCAGGAGTGAGGGCGATGTCAAGGCATGCTTGGAGAATGCGAGTGCCATAGCGGGAAGAGACTGTGTAGTGCTTTCTCTAGGCCTCCTCGGGAATGACCCCGAGGATCCCAGGAGTGAGATTGGACCTATCGCGAAATTCATCCTGGCTGGTAGAGTGGTGAGGCTCCTTGCGGACCTCCCACAAACCTCGTGGGACACCACCCCCGTTGCAAGGACAAGGATGGGAGGGGGGAGAGCAGGCCTTCCAGGAGCTGTGATGAGCCTTGGGGCATCTCTGCTAGGTCGCTCTCCGAATGGAAGCGATTAGAACTAGAGAATGCGTGCTTGCGTGCAGCGTCAGAGCTTGCGTGGTGCTCGGCCTCCTCGGTGCTGGCGACCCTAGTGGCTTTAACATCCCAAGGCCAGCATGCTCATCAGCCCTGCGTGTGGAGAGTCCCCGAGGTCAGGTACATCCATTCTTTGTCGGCCGTGACTCCGACGCTCTCTTCGAACTGCGTGCCAATCGGGGGCCGTCAATGCCTTGTGTTGAACGCTGCATCTGCACTTGCAGCCCCAGACAGCAGCCAGGTTGACTACTACCTTGCTCCAGTAATCGCCTCTGCCGACTCGTCAAGTTGTGTCCCCATGCCTCTTCGGGATGCATGGCTAGAGACTGGTACTGCCGATCGGAACTCCCTCTCGACATGTATTGCCAGGATGGCTGAGGATGGCCATCGTTGCTTGTCCCTCTCTCTGCCTCTGCCTTGCCTTTTTACCGCAGACGTTGCATGCATGGGCACTTCAGGCGTTCGTCTTCAGGGCTGGGGGAAGAAGATATGAGGAAGAGGGCGACGGAGAAGTGAGGGGGATAGGGAGGAGGGGGGTGGAGAAGATGGAGGAGGAAGAAAGCAGCGACGAAGACGACGACGGCGGCGGCGGCGACGGCAACAATGGTTGCGACAGCGGGGGGCCCAGAGAACTCCGCAACTCTCCAAAGGCCTTGGGAAGCCCCCAGGTGTTTCCAGGGGCCCGCTAAGAGCCGAACGCGCCGACCCTCGACGTCGAGCAGGGACCAACCGTGGCATTCCGATAGGTTCACCACGGAGCCCATTCAGAGTGCAAACATGTTCGAATAATAGAAGCGATGTTCTTAGAACGTGCAGACGGAGGTATCAAAACAAGAGGGTCTCAGCCACGCATGATCGAATAGCATTTCGTGCAAACAACGACAGGTTCTTAGACCAGTTTTTGGTGGGCCTCATCGGCAGGTCAAGACGCTTCGCCACTGCTTGACGACAACGGCGACGACGACGAGCACCCTGCCGGCCGCGTCGAGCTCCAGGAAGGGCAGCCCCGAGTGCTGGAGCAGCTGGCGCACCCCCTCGACGTACCCGCGGGCCTCCTGAGAGTGGGGCAACTGGCGCGCTCGAGGCCCCCGCGGGCCAGGCAGATGGACGCGCATGCTTCTACGTTGTGACTGAGCCACCATTTGCCAATAGACACAATGCAGTATAGTGAGCATGTTCCTGGCCCCGATTCTCCCATGGCCGTGCTCAGCCAGCTTCGCCACCATGGCCAGCAACGCCTCCAGATGCGACGTCGCGGGATGTTGCAATACCAAGTCGGGGACGGAGAATGCAATGGAGGCCCGTCGTCGCAGTCAACGCCGCCGCCGCCGCAGTCGCGGCCTCCGCAACCGCCGCGGTCGCGGCTGCAGTCGCCTCGCCGTTGCCATCGTCGTCGCGCCGTCGACGTCGTCATCAGCGTCGTCGCCTCCATCGCAGTCGCCTCCATCGCCGCCGCCGCCTTCGTCGCGCGGCGCTTGCGCCAGGCGATAACCACCAACACCAGCTTTGCAGCATCTGGCTGGGAGTGAGATGGGTCCTGGAAGAAATTAGCGAGCACGGATGCCACATTCAAATGTCAATGCTCCCCCATGATCAATGTTGGCGGTTCGTGACATGAGTTGCACTTCGACCGCAAGGTTGCCCGCGCGCGCCAACTTTGAATTTGGGGAAGCGGGGGAGTGTCCACTACTTGTTTCCCTCTAGCAGAAGCGCGCGTGACTGGATCCGTAAGCGGAGCGCGAGGAGGCCCGATACCCACGCGGGGGGCCACCGCGCCGGGCCACACGAGGACTGGGCACGCCAGCCCCCCCCCGTGCCTGTCCACGTGGCTGCGCACTGGGCCACGCTAAGTGCGCGAGAAGACGCATGTCGTCGTCGTCAGTCCCAAGGGAATCCACAAACAAGTAAATTGAGGAACGCCATAATAAAATCGAAGGGAGACCCCTTCCCTTTGACCCCTTCCCTGCCCGGTGTGTGTGTGTGTGTGTGCATGCGTGTGTGCGGGTACCACGATCGGAAGTTCGCCTCGCGGGGGTCCTGGGCGGGGGGTCCCGGGCGGGGGTCGCCAGCATGGGTCCCGGAGGAAGTCCCACCTATTCAGGGTCGACGGAACAGGCCATAGGCCCTTCGCAAATAATATTCGACGTAGTAGTCGCGGTCGTGCAGGCGAGAGCGGGGAATACCAGGGCATATGGGGGCCTGCGTGGCTTCAGACCTGGCCGAAAAGGCTGACTCCCCCGCGCGCGCAGACCAAAGCCCCCCCCAAACCTTGTGGGAATCGATGAATCTTTGGGCCAACACCCACATGCATCATGCTTACTGGGAAGCACGACGACCGTCTGTGCAATGCTGGCCTGTGACCGCCCACGGAAAAGAAGAGCGCGCAGGGACTGATCGGCCCCAGGCGCTCTCCTCAGCCTCATTACACTCAGTGCGGGGACAAGCTATACAGCATTAAAGTCTTCAAGGGTATATACGTATTCGGGAAGGTGTTGATCACCTTCTTCTGTAAAGGTTTTGGGCCCCCCCCCCCGACCCCCGAGCACCGCGGATTGGCGAAAGCCTCAGGAACCGACGTCGTATTTTTGATACTTTGCACACGGACGCTCGAATAAGCAAGCTTCGCACCTGGACGGGCAACGGAAACTGCTATATTAATATTTGGTATCCGTGGGCCGTACTGAACAGGGAAGCTGGTGCCAGCAACAAAGCCGCTATGCAATCTGATCGTCTGGGCGAGTGGGCTCGGTGATATCAGCCGCTTGGACACATAATATTGAAACAAAAAACGTACTGCAGTTATTGGGGTCCGTGGTGGCCGACGTCCGAAAACAAGGGCGTGGGATAGGGCCTGTGCAATAGGTGTCCAGACTACTCCATTCGGATCCGTTCCCTCCAAGGTATAATGATTCTGGATGGTGCGGCAACACTTTCCGTTGCAGGACTTCCAGTGTCCATTGGCCCGCCACGCGGCTGAGATCAACATGGGCGTTCGTCAGGGGAGCGCGTTTCCACGGCGACGTTCCGCCAATGCGGAAGTCAGTGCAGTGCCAGAGCGTCTCCCGGGCTTCATGCAAAACAGGCGGCTTCCGAGCGCGGCCGCCGGGAATCCGTTGTAGACCAGGGCCATAGCGAGTCCCAGTGCCGCCGCGGGAAGCCGAGGGCCACCGCGGCGAGGATGCTGCGGGCACCTCCAGTCCAGGTCCCCAGCCCCGAGAGCGCCTGACTCACCGCGTCGACCTCAACTCGCTCGCGCCCCTCATACTGAGGCGTCGCTGCGCCGCCCGGCAACCTGCAGGGCGCGCGCCCTCCTCGCGAACGTCAATCACCTCCGCCGCCGGGTCGCCGACGATCTCGACCCGGCCCCTCTCCCGCGAGGCCGACCAGTCCGGGGGGCAAGCCTGGTTAACGTGCGGCGCCATCCCTCTCTCCGCATGGCGCGCCCCCCACGCGCCTCGCGGCCTTCTCCGTGCCGCTCGAGCGCTCCTGTTCCATCGACGCGCGCGTGATCAACTCTGGGGAGATCATCGAGTATCCCTGCTCTGGTGGTTGCCTGACGCGCGCGCGCTCCACGCGGCAATGCTCGACCCCCTGGGCGAAGCAGAGCACGTGCGCGGCGGGGGCCAGGATGGCCGCGTCGAGCTGGTCGCGCTCACAGACGGCGGACAGGGGTCGCATGATTGTCTCGCGCAGGTCGACGCGCAGCCGGCCGCCGCGAGCATGGCCGTTGACGCCCACCAGCCCCCAGGCGCCAGAGGGCCGTCGTCCGACCTCAGGGACGCAGCGCACCCTACGGCAATCCACGGAACTGGGACGAGAACCCCCAACCTCTCAACCTCACCTGATCCGTCTTAGCAACAACGTTTGCGAACGACTTTTCCTCCTTTTCCTCTTCTTCTTCTTCGTCTGCTCGCCGACTAGATTGGCCAGCGGCGGGCGGGCAACGCAGCCGACATCACCCTCGATGTTGTTGTTCTTCTCGATCTCGGCCACGTCGGTTGGGCGCCCCTGAAAACGCAGAGGGGGCGCGCTGCGCGTCGCGCGCGTCGCCATGCCGGAGCGCCGCGCGATCGGCCTGGACAAGCATTCCAACACCAAATCTCACCTGCTCGCCCTTCTTGCGCCCCGGGCCGCTCTCGATGGCACGGCGCAGCAATCGGCCGCCGCGTGCCTGAGCGTCGCGGCGAGCCTCCTGCAATTCATTCTGTCCACTGGAATCTACGCAGCATAAGTCATCATCAGAGGTGGCCATCATTCACTCAATGCCCGTGTCGCCCACTTCCGTTGCGCGCAAAACCGTCGCGCCGGGCCTGCGGCCGTCGTGCTGCACGAGGACCTTCCGGCCCGACCCCATAGCCCTTTAATGGGGGCGCGCAGTTCAGCTTGGAACGCCCCTGGTCGGACCCGCTCGGCGCGCGCCCATCAAGCTTGGCCCAGCACGCACCGAATGCATGAGTTTCAGCGAAGATCAACCTGCTTCGGGGCGGCGCGGCCCAGCCCGGCTCCGCCCAAGTCTGCCGAGCAGGAATCGAATTCTACTGGGCCCCCGCTTGCCGAGCCCAGCTTGGGTCGGCCGGCCCACTGCAATCCATCTTGGCCCAGGTCAACCCAGCTGAACAAATCCGACTCAGCTCCGCCTGCCGCACCTCCACTGGATCAAGACAAGCTCACCTCGGCCAGCCGCTGCTCGGCAATCTGAAGTCAGCCAAATCCAGCCCCGTCGGGCTCGCCCAGCGCAGGCCAGCTCAGCCCGAGCCAGTCCAGCCAAACATGCCCAGCAACGCCCTGTCCATAATATTCCAAGTCTGTCAAGACCAACCCAGCCATGCACGGGCCTCTCCAACCCAGCTGAGTTCAGCCACGTTGCCCGACGGGAGCAAGTCGCTGGCGCATTCGCGCGTGGCGCTTGCCCTTGAACGGCCCGCGTGTCACGCGTGTTTCCGACGCTGCAGCGAGCGCGTTTGCGCGGCGCGCGGGCCCAGATTGGTCCTCCGCGGGCGCGCGTTGCCCCCGTCGCCGCTCGATCCTGGTCGCGCCCTGCGGGCCCCCGAGCGCGGGGCGCCATCGCCGCGGCATCCATGGCTTTCTAAGCGCCCACGAGGGAGGGGGTCTGCCTTCGACGGCCCTGCGAGCAGGTCTACTTTGCAAGGGCTGCTTGTTTTCCTCTGGCCATTTCTCTGGCCAAACAGCCGAGGAACCCCAAAAACGAACGGGCGTCGCCGCCGGCCCGGGCGCGGCCAGAGTGGGCGGGCCGCGCGCCACGATCGGCGCCGGCGCCCGCCGGGGTGGGGCATGGGGTGGGGTGGGGGGGACAGCGTTCTTCCTTCGTTCTGTTGCAATCCGATCTCGTTCAGCTTCGTCAGAGGGGAGGGGGGGGGCTGCGTCGGGGCGCTTGATCGTGCGCGCGGCCCTCAAGGCGCCATGGCCATGGTGCGTCTCGGCACGGTCGCCCGCGCATTTGCAAGCAATGAGGTCGACGTTGGAGCTAATGAGCTCGCTGCCAGCGTCGAAGGGGGGCGAGAGCGAGGGGCTATGGCAGGTGTCATTCCGCTCGGCAGCGAGGGGGGGGGTCCGCGCGGAACCCGGGCGCGTCGCTGGCGTCGACCATGATGCGCCCCAGTGCGTTCTGGCAGGCTAGCGCGTCAATGCCGTCGTTGATCAAGCATGCTGCTCTTCATGGTCGACCTGTCACGTTAGTGCAATCGCCAGGGAGGTAGGTCTGACCCGCTCCTGCGTCGAATAACGCATGGTCCACGGATGCGAACGCGTTCGCCATGTGGGGCTTGGTGGTGGCACGCCCCTTCGCAGCGTTGGCCGTCGCCACTGGGGCGCGAGGCCAGCGGCGATGGCAGCTGGGCCCGAGCGGCCGCGAATGTGCCCGACCTCGGCGTCGCCCCTGGCGTCGTCGTCTCATTCTGCCGCGAGGCGACCCATGCCTTGCCAGATGGGCACAGGCCGTCTGGGAGGCGGGTACCACGCGTTCAGGGTTTGGTATTCGTCTCACTCACCTGAAATGCTTGAGAAAAGTTACACCGCGCGTTGAGTCGCTGCTGCCATTGCGACGCAGCGGGGCGCGCGGGGGGGCGCACGTCGCGGGGAAGTTGGCCAGAGGAGAACCTCGCGGTGCCGTGGCCTTTGCTAACGTCTTCGCGTCGGCCAGAACTGCGACTCGCAAGGGAGTGGCCAGATACTTGCCGGCAAGAGCCACTCAGAGGCTGCACGTCGTCGCTTACATGTTCGAAGCGTACGTATTGTACCATCGCAGGCCCCGCTGTGCAAGTCGCCATGCATCGGCTGTCTGGATGAACGGTCGGTCTTTGTCTGCAACCGCCTGCATGAACTGCTGGATGTCGATCGGGGCGGCCATCTGTCGCCTTCGGCTCCAGGTGGCGCCATATCTTCTGTATTAACTCTGGTAAACTGCGCCGCCCTCGTGAATGCCGCAGGGGCTGCGAAGACAACCGTGCGAACGCCTGTTCTTCCCGATTGTTTTTCATTCCCATCTCATTCACGTCGTTCTGGATAGTTTCCTCGCCCAGTCATTGGCCGTAACTTTGCAGATGATGGACTTCGCAGCCCAGCCCAGAATGCTTCGCGCATCCGTCGCGCAACTCGGCGTTCATCTCATTCCTTCTGCCATCCGGTTTGCTCCTTATCTAACAGGTTCCGCATGTTATCCACAATCCCTCTGGCCGGGGTGCCATCCAGCGCCTTAGGTCGACATTGTTATCCCTTCGCCGTTCTGTCCGTGAGCTCATCGAGCGCCTTTACCATGTCACTTCTCCTGGCAGTCTGGTCAGCTCCCCAACGCGTTGCTCACCGCAATGTTGTTGTGATCCCTGGTCTGCTCGTCAACATTGATCTCACTCCGGCACTCCTGGAACAGTTAATCGGCTCCGCCACCTCACTCTCCTACCTGCGCGTCTCCTGGAGCCTTCCGCACGAAGCAACAACGTGCAAGCGTCGCATCCGTGCCGACAGTACCGTCTCCAGCATTGCTGATGGGCTCGCAAGGTCTGCCACGCTGGAAGAGGCGAGACACGTGCGAACAACCGGCGAGTTGAACCAGCACGGCCGACAACTTTTCACGGCACAGTGGCCACACGGGTAAGCTGGGACCCGTGCGCCCAAACGACCTGATGACTATATCCGTCGCCCCTTCCCCTCTTCCCCCCCCCTCCCCGCCCTGCCCCCCTCCGCCGCCTCTTCCCCCCTCTCCCCCTTCTGCCCCTTCCGCCCACCTCCACCTTCTTTCCCCCGCCCACCCCGCCCTTCCCGCCGTTCCCGCTCCCGCGGTTCCCTCCCCCGCCCTTCCTGCGGGCAAGCTGCATATCCATATCCACTGCATCTTGGAGTTTCGGGGGGCCTCCTTCCCCTGGCACCCGAGGCGCGGTGGATATGGGTAAAAATCTGGCCCCCTGGAGGCTCGATATCAATCCATATCCACTGCGCGCCAGCCTCTCGGGGCCCCTTCCCAGACAGTCGAAGACACAGTGGACATCTTGCCCGCACCTCCTGTGCCTCCTGTGCGTTTTCGGCTCTTGGTTGTCCTGAGGCCGACCCTCTTCTGTTTGTTGTTCGCGTTTATTTCTCCCTGCTTCGGGGCTCGGGCGAGGTGCCCAGGCGCCCGTCGATGGCTGGAGCATGATCCGCGATCGGCCGTCCGCGCCATCACCTCCGTCCTCCTCTCACCGCCACCGAGTTGAGAAAGACAGCTCGTGTTAGGAGGAAGGGGTTGGGATGTCACAGGGCACGACTGTGTAATAATAAGCACCTTCAATATAAGCGGCGATATGAATGGTAGGATCATTTCTCCCAACCCCATCCTCCAGTAAGGGGACGGAGAAAAAGAATCCCGTCGTTTTCGACTTCGTGTTCGTCCACCCAACGTCCCCCCAAACTCAAAACTGGCGTCCGGCCTGCTGAAGGCCCTGGGGGGGTCAACTGATTTGTCCTTTCGAGCTGGTGCTCCCGAGTGCCCAGGGTCAACTTTGAATAGAGGGGGGGATGGGGGGAGCGGGGCCAACGGTTCCACTACTTTGCCCATCTACGATCCCAACCCGACATCTGTCTCTCTGACCCCCGCCCCCTCCGCCGCCGAGCATGCTCCCCCAGCACGCAGGACGGGCGCGCAGAACCCAGGGGGGGGGGACGGGGCCAGGAACTGGGACGGAGGGCGCGCGCAGAAGCGCGCGGCGGGGAGGAAACGTGGAAGTGGGGGGCGGGGCGGGCAAGCAGGAGGGCGGAAGGGAACGGAGGGGAGGGGAGGAGGAGGAGGAGGAGGAGGAGGAGGAGGAGGAGGAGGAGGAGGAGGAGGCGGAGGAGGAGGAGGAGGAGGAGGAGGAGGAGGAGGAGGAGGAGGAGGAGGAACAGCAGGAGGGGCAGGGGGCAGCAGGAGGGGCAGAGGCAGTAGGAGAGGCAGGGGGCGAGGCGAGGAGAGCGGAGCAGCAGGAGCGGTGGGAGCGGAGGGAAGGGGGGGGGCATATGGTCAGGAACGCTCGGCTACCTTAGACAACCGCGTTCCACCACTCGCACGTTACCTGTTCGCAAGTGGCCTGGATCCGCCGCGGGGCGGTTACGATCCATGACATCGAGCAAGACATGTTTCTGTTGGGGACGTTTGCGAGTAGGCACTTTGCGAGTAGTGGATCGCGCGCGGTGGTACATCCAGGAGCGACCCCGGGCAAGGGTGGCCTCCGGTGGGCGGCTTTCGGGGGGCGCGGGGGGGGGGGGGGGGCAAACCCAAGCTCGCAGACCACTGCTATCGCATTGCTTGAAGCGGTCAAGGGGCCCCAATGGGCCCGCACCCGAGGTCACTCCGGCGAAGGGCCACTTTTACGTGAAGCCGATGTTTGGACTAGCGCGTCGCGGCGCGGGGGCCCCGACGACACGCTATGCCTTGCGAGAGGATGGCGTCACTCCCGTCCGCGGGCCTGAAGTTGGAAAGACCTCGAGATACTGACGCCTGGGGACGGGGAAATGGATAGCGTGTCGCGCCGAGGCCGGTTGGCCCAGAAACGGTGGAGCGACACGCGAACCAAATTGACGGCGCGCACAAGGGGGTAGGGGGAGGGAGGGGGGAAGGCGTCTAAGAAGCAGGGGTGTTTCTAAGAAGCCTTCCCCCTTTCTGCGCGAGGCTTGCACAAGTTCCCAATCGTCCCTTCGCCCTCAACCCGCCCAGATTTTCGGGCGGCTTTGTTTTGCAGCGCGTGCGCAGCCAATTTGGAAGGCAGTTGTCAACAAACATGGTTTCCCACTGGGCCCCACATATGCTTAGGTGCAACATGCCGCTCCTCCTGTGCGGCATGCACTTTCTCATGCTTAGCCGATGTGTCGCGCGACATGCCTTGCGAGCGACCGAACGAGCGAACCTGGACGTTGCAGGATCGTGCCTCGATGGGCCAAAGTAGGCCAAGTCAACTAACGAGCCCGGGCGACCCAAGCGGTAGAACTTGAGGCCCGCACTTCGGGAGAAGGGGGGAAGGAGAGAAGGGGGGGGATGAGCCCCCCCCCTCACTCTCGCGAGGGGCGGGGGGAGGAGGAGGAGGAGGAGGAGGAGGAGGAGGAGGACGAGGCGGAGGAGGATGGACCAGTGTCAACCAAAGAGTCACCAACGATGTTGGAAAAAAACCCTCCCTCCAAGCTCGCCCTTCACAGGCCCCTACAACGGTTCATTTCCACTGAAAGAACTGCCTCGTCGGAAGACAACCGTTCGAAGACTCCGAAGCATGCCAACACATTGTTCCCGGGATTAACGGATCCAACTGATTAGCGCGTCGCGAGGACCCTGAGTCATGCCAGAACGCCATGTCTGAGTCTTCAGCGCCACGAACCAACGTAACTGTTGCACCCTGATAGTCCAAATCCCATTTCCTGTACGTTGATCACTGGAATCCACACTTTCAAATGTTATGAAGAAATGAGCGCGGCGCTAAAGCGAGAGCCACATTTTGACAAGGAGCCGCCCTCAATACGTGAAACTGAAACTCTTGCGAATGTGCGAAACAAATGCACGGGGCGCTAACGCATGAGCCGCATTTTGAAAACCTCCCGCCCTCTATCCGTAAAGCTCTTGCAGTGGTATAAAACGAGTGTGTGCGGCGCTAAGGCGAGAACCACGTTTTGAAAAGGAGCCGCCCTCGATCCATGAAACTATTGCAACTGTTGGAAATGAATGTGCGCGGCGCTAAGGCGAGAGCCACATTTTGAAAACGACCCGCCCTCCATCTGTGAAGCTGTTGCCCAATTTTAAGCTCCAGGGTCGTCAATGGTGAAGACGTCTCATGCGAAACGCCCAGCCCGCCCTAAAAACTGGCCTCGGGGTGCGACAAGGAGAAATTATCTATGATAAGGAAAAAGGATGGATGGGGAGGAGGGGGAGGAGGAACCCTTCCAAACCTCGCTCCCACTGGGGACAATGAAGAAATACTGGTGCCGCTACTCCCCGGACCTTTCCAGGGGTGCGGTCTGACTAGCACTCCGATGCGATCCGAGGCAAGGCTAGCGGCATCGGTACTTTATTCTCCTCTGACCCACTACCCTGGGAGGGGGCCCACCGGCCGTGCGCAGCTCAGGGACACGAGCTGCGCACGATGGCGTGCCCCACCACCCCCTCAGTGCCCTTTTGGGCTCTCACGAGCCAGCACGCCCAGGCCCCCCCTCCTGCAGAGGAAGCACACACGCCGATGCCGCGACCCTCCCATCTTTGAAGGGGGATGGGAGATTCAAATAAATAAGCACAAATCCATACGTCCCATTCTGTCTGGATGGTCTTCTTCCCCTCCACTTTCCATCTCTCCCATCTGTTCCCGGGCATCTACGTTTGTTTGTATATGTGTGCCTGTTCTCCACCTGGATATTTTCGCCTTTCTCGGGCCTTCAGTGGGGGGGGGGGGCCTTTTCGACACGGCTGGGTTCGCCTTGGCAAATGGCGGTGCTGGTATCTTTTTGTTTCCCCGCCTCTGGCTCCGCGTCCTCCAGCTCCATTGCCACAAGTACTCAGCCGCGCCCGCCCGCCGCGCGCGCCATGGCCCCCCTGGCAACCCGCGGAGGGACGCCGGCTTGAACTTGCAGGGAGCAGGAGGCCATGTCCCATGTGGGTCCCAAACGCGGGCGTCAGTGTACCGCGCATAGCTCGCTCCCCACCCCTCCCACTCCAGACACGTGCCTCGTGGAGCTCACATGTTGCACAGGGAGACGAAATATGCTCTCGGAGGCGCAGCCATTGACGCCTGGACTGCTCGGTGTATGCTGTGCGATGCGCGGAAAGCAACATAACTGCCACTGCGCGCTCTACCAGCTCTTCTGCGCACGTCTCCGTCATCCCTGGAACCACAGCAACTCGCATCCTTCACTCTCATTATCCCCGATGTTGTGTCTTACGTTCCGGCGTCTTCTACGACACAAATAGAAATACATATCTGTGTATACATGTATGTATGTATGTATCAGACTGCGTTGGCGCTTCGCGCCACGCGCCCTGGACCTTGAAGTTTGGCATGCAGGCGGAAGTCGCGGCGGTAGGCCAGGAAGGTAACGCATACACAGTGGCCATAAATCCGCGTTGTTTTGTCCGACTCGTCATCATAATAATACCATTCGTCATCCTTCCCTACTGTGAACTCTTCCCCCTCTTCGTTCTGAGGTCCACGAAGGAAGTGGTGACCGCCCCTAGTGGTGATCCCCTTTGGCATTGCCCGATTCTCCTACTCCCTCCTCCTCCTCTTCCTCCTCCTCTTCCTCCTCCTCTTCCTCCTCCTCTTCCTCCTCCTCCCTCCTCCTCCACGTCCTCCTCCTCCTCCTCATCATCATCATCCTCCTCCTCCTCCTCATGCTCCTCATCCTTCTCATTCTCCTCGAGGATTCACCTTATCCACGGCGCCAGCCCCACCACTCCTCCTCCTCCTCCTCCTTCCTCCTCCTCGTCCTCCTCCCTCCTTCTCCTCCTCCTCCTCCCTCCTCCTCCTCGCCCTCCTCCTCGCCCTCCTCCTCCTCCCTCTCCTCCTCCTCCTCCTCCTCCTCCTCCTCCTCCTCCTCCTCATCATCATCATCATCATCATCATCAGCATCATCATCAGCATCATCATCATCCTCATCATCATCATCAGCATCATCATCATAATCATCATCATGATCAGCATCATCAGCATCATCATCATCATCATTATCATCACCATTCCCATCATCATCATCAGCAGCACCATCATCATCATTGTCATCATCGTTATCCCCATCGTTATCCCCATCATCATCATCATCATCATCATCATCATCATCATCAGCATTATCATCATCATCAGCATTATCATCATCATCATCATCATCATCATCATCATCATCATCATCATCATCATCATCATCATCATCATCATCATCATCCCCATCCTCCTCCTCCTCCTCCTCCTGCTCCTCCTTCTGCTCCTCCTCCTCCTACCCACGTGCCTGGAGGGAACGTCGCGAAACTGGGATTCGGACATATTTTGTGGAAATGCTAGACGAGGGCGCCAACGCGGGGTCGTACGTCAAAGGCCTCTTCGATGTGTTTGGGTCTGTGGGGAGGCGTCTCGGGGTCGTCGCGGAAACAATGTTGCTGGTTTTGGGATAACTTTGAGACCCCTTTTGGTTGATTTTCGGTCTAATTGGGGACCTCGTGAACCCTGGTTGGGGCGTTCGGGCGCCTGTTGGCAGTTTCGTGGATCCCTCAGGGCCCGAGGGCTCGCGCCTGGTGGCGGTCTGAAGGTCCGTCTTGGGACCTTCTCCGGGGATCGTGGGGGCCCGGAGCCTGCTCGGGCCGTCATGGGTTGTCCTGGGGCGATGTTGAGGGCCTTGGGCGTCGGTAGCACGAAAAAGCGATAATGCCAAAAAAATGCAAAGACCTATGGGAAACGCACAGGTTTTGGATTTGGAAGCCCACTTGGGGGTTCCTCTTGGAGCTCTTTGGGGCGTTTGGAAAATCTCTTTAGCCATCAGGAGGCCATGTTGGACCCTCTTGGGGCTACCGCCGGCTCGTTTACACTAATTGGTCGACGCTCCCAGAAGCCCAGAGGTTTCATGGGACCCTCGGCATGGGCATCCAGGAGCCCCAGAAGCCAAGGATTCCCGAAGGTCTGGTCCCGGGGGGGGTCCCACCCCGCCGGATTACAATAATGTAGGCAAGGGAATGAGTGTGTGTATATATATGTATACATCTATATATATATATATATATATATATATATATATATATATATTCCTCTTCCTATATTTTTATAAGCCCGGGCGGGGGGAAAACCCATCCCCCCCCCCTAAAACCGGACCCCCGGGATCTGCAGCTTTGGGACCCTCCGGACGGGCCTCGAAGCGGCCCCCTGGGCCTCGCAGGGCGTTTTGCCAAGCCTTCGCAGCACACCCAGGGCGATCAGGGGGGTCACCGGAGACGTCCCAAAGACCCCCAAGACAGCACAAGAGCGCTCCAAGAAGCCGTCATACCCCGAAAGATCGCTCCAAAACGTACCAAGAGGCCTCCAAGAGCATCCCCAAGAAGGGCCCCCAAAGGAAAAAACATTGATTCTATATAAGTTTTTGGTGCATTTGGGGTTCTCCTCTTTTCGGCTTCCCTACGCTCCAAGACGGCGGTCTCCTAGGCGTCCGAAGCCGCCTGGGAGGCTCCCAAATCGCCCCACAACCATCCGAAAGGGCTTCCAGGCAGTCCAAGAGAGCCCCAAAACGGCACAACAGGACTCCAAAATGGCCCTAAGAGAGCACCATGGCGGCCCAAGATGGCCCCAAGACGCCCTCCGAAGCATTCCAAATCGTGACTGGGGCGTTCAGGGAGACCGCGGTTAGAGGCAGGTTGGCCTTAGGAAGCCCCAGAGGCCCCCAGAACACACCCAGGAGGCCTCCAAAAGGCTTTAAAAAAGCCTGAGAACTTTGGTGAAGCCCCCAGAGGCTCTCCAAGGAGGAGCCTCCGCAAAAAGAGCTGAGGAGGATGGGGAGAATGCCCAGTGTGTGGCGAGAATGAGGAAAAACAAGCATGGAGGAAGGATAACGAACAACATTAGTATAACGGCGATGTCAGAAAAGGCAGCAAGGAGTTATCGCTAAATTGTCAGCTTGACCTTCCTGCCATTTCCGCCTGCATACCTAACTTCAAGGACCAAGGTGCATGGCGCGAAGCGCCACTGCAGTCTTGTATATATATATATATATATATATATATATATATATTCACACACACACACACCCTCCGACGAGCATTGCATGTGCCTTCAGAGAGGGTGGCGGTGTACCAGATCGGCGGCTCTCAGTGGTGATTCATACGCGGCCACCCTTCCATGAAACCCAGGAAGAATCCATTGGAGGGTGTCTGTGTGTATTTTGGTGTCGCGGATCTGGGGGATACCAAAGTGCACCGATACAGCTACTCCCCGGACCTCTCCTGGGGTGCGTTCTGACCAGAGTCGCAAGGGGAACCCAGCGGTGGCGACGAGGGCCTCCAAGGAGGCGACACAAGGGAAAATCGAGGGAAAGGGCAACGTAATGGGTACCTTTTGATTCTCTGAGTATATTTTCTTGTGGCGGATGTTCGATATCCTCGAAACGATCGCGGCCACGATCTTTCAACCTAGAATTGATCGCGGCCACGATCGTTTAAAATTGAATTCCGTCGGGTCCAATGGCGTTGCTGTGTCCCTCGGTACTTCCGCGTCGCAGAATTCAACCTTGAACGCCTTCGCCCGCGTCGCTGGCGCGCCAACGCCGCATGAACCTAAGCCCCTCCTGGGGTGCGTTCTGCCCAGGATGTCGAGGCGAACCCAACGGTGGCGACGAGGGCCTCCCAGGAGGCCCAAGAGGCGAAAACGAGGTAAGGGTAGCAATATGGATACGTTTTCCTCCTCTGAGATCTCCGGTATCCGCGGCCTTCCGCCGAGAATCAGATGCCAGCTATTTCGGCCCTCGAAGGCGAGGTCCCTTTCTGGAGCGTTTCGTGCACATTTTCTTGTGGCGGGTCTCGAGGCGAGTCCAGCGGTGGCGACGAGGGCCTCCCAGGAGGCCCGGGTCAGCGAAAACCAGGCAGGGGTAGGGGTATGGGCGTGAGCCCGGCGGCCGTGTGCAACTCCGGGGCACGAGCTGCGCACGGTGGCGTGCCCCAGGGGCCCCCTTCGGGGAGACGTAAGACCCGGGTACGGGGGACTCGGAAATCCCCGACGAGGTCGTCAAAAAAATGACGAGGCCGAGCCTGCACTTTGACGAGGCCTCCCGCTGCAGACATCCCACAAAACTCCTCCTCGTCAAAATCCGAGTCGCGGTCGTCAAAAAACGATGGCGAACCCGAGTCCCGGCAAACCCGGGTCTTACGCTCCCCCGATTCTGGGCTTCGACGAGCCAGCGCGCCCAGGCCCCTCCTGCAGGGGAAGGGCACACGCCGATGCCGCGACCCTCCCTCCCAATCTTTGAGTGGGCCCAAGGAGATTCAAATCAATGGTCACAAGCCCATGCGTCCCATTCTTTCTGGATGGTCCTCTTCCCCTCACTTTCCTATATATTCACCTGTTTCCGGGCGTCTGCGTTTGTTTGTGTCTGTGTGTCTTTTTTCCTTCTGAATCCTTCCGCCTTGCTCGGGCCTCCACAGGGTGGTGCTCTTTGTCGCAACGGCTGGGTTAGCGTCGGGGAATGGCGGTGCCGGTGTATTTTTGTTCCCCCGCCTCTGCAAACAGAAACATCGCCTCTTATGTGGGCGTGGAAGTCGACGGTGGGGTAATCAGAAAATCTAGAGGGGGGGCACCATGTTTCAAGCGGGCCGTCGAACACCTTCGGCATCCCCTCCGTTCGGCAATCACCTCCTGGGAGGCCGACCCGCGCCGCGGGCAGACGCGGGGCCGCCAAGTTCGGCCCACCCACGGGGCAACCGTGCGCCCGAAGAGGCGAAACTGACACCAGCGGGGGGGATCACCCCTACGACTTCTGACGGAACTCTGGGCACTCGAGTTTGTGAGGGGGGCACGGGGCACGCAAACTAAAAGGCACAACTCCCAAGATTCCCCTCCATATTTTCTGGATGGTCCCCTGCTCCTCCAA